GCATTTAATTTGTCAACAAAAAAAAATTCCTTAACTTTGAGTTTATTTCAAAAAAAAAACAAAAAAAATTCCTTAACCTTGGATTTATTCTATTCAAAAATCCTTAACTGATTTTTTTTATTTCAAAAATTCCCTTAACTTAGTTTTTTAATTTTTGCAAAAATCCTTTAACCTTGATGTTTATTTCAAAAAAATTCCCTAACTGATTATTTCCAACAAAACAAAAATCCTTAAACCCTTGATTTTAATTTCCAAAATTCCCTTACTTTGATATATTTCAAAAAATTCCTTAACTTGATTTTATTTTCAAAAATTCCTTAACTTGATTTTATTTCAAAAAATTCGCTTAACTTGATTTATTTCAAAAAAAATTCCTTAACCTCATTTGATTTTATTTCAAAGAAATTCCTTAACTGATTGATTTCAAAAAATTCCTTTAACTTGATTTTATTTCAAAAAATTCCTTTAACTTGATTTTATTTCAAAAAAATTCCTTAACTTGGAAGTTTATTTCAAAAATTCCTAACTTGATTTTATTTCAAAAATTCCTTAACTTGATTTTATTTCAAAAATCCTTAACTTATTTTAATTTCAAAATTCCTTAACTTGATTTATTCAAAAAATTCCTAACTTGATTTTATTCAAACCAATTCCTTAACTTGATTTTATTCAAAAATTCCTTACGATTTATTTCCCAAAAATCCTTAACCTTGATTTATTCAAAATTCCTTAATTTCATTTTATTTTCAAAAATTCCTTAACCTTATTTATTTCAAAAAATTCCTTGAACTTGATTTTATTTCAAAAATTCCTTAACTTGATTTTATTCAAAATTCCTTAACTTGATTTTATTCAAAATTTCCTTAACTTGAATTTATTTCAAAATTTCCTTAACTGATCTTATTTCAAAAATTCCTTACTTGATTTTTATTTCAAAAAATTCCTTAACTTGATTTTATTCAAAAATTCCCCTTTTAACTTGCATTTTATTTCAAAAATTCCTTAACCCTTGATAAACAATTTGTGAATAATCAATTAAGGAATTTTGAAATAAAATTCAAATAAGGAATTTTGAAATTTAAATCAATTTTAAGGAAAAAAATCATAAGAATTTTTGAAATAAAGATCCAAGTTAAGGAATTTTTGAAATAAAATCAAGTTAAGGAATTGTTGAAATAAAATCAGTAAATAGGAATTTTTTGAAATAAAATCATTAAGTTTAATAAGAATCAATTGAAATAATCAGTAGGAATTTTTGAATAAAATCAAGTTAAGGAATTTTGAAATAAAATCAAGGTTAAGACATTTGAAATAAAATCAAGTTAAGGAATTTTTGAAATAAAATCAAGTAGGAATTTTGAAATAAAATCAAGTTAAGGAATCTTTTGAAATAAATCAAGTTAAGAATTTTTGTAAATAAAATCAAGTTAAGGAATTTTGAAAAATAAGTTGCAGATAATACGTTAAGGAATTTTTGAAATAAAATCATGTTAACGGAATTTGTGAAATTAAAATTAAAGTTAAGGAATTTTTTTGAAATAAAATCCAAGTTAAAGGAATTTTTTAAATAAAAATCAAGTTAAGGAATTTTGAAATAAAATCAAGTAAGGAATTTTTGAAATAAACCATAGTTAAGACTTAAATAAAATCCAAGTTAAGCGAATTTTTGAAATAAAAATCAAGTTAAGGAATTTTGAAATAAAATCGAAGTTAAGGAATTTTTGAAATAAAATCAAGTTAAGGAATTTTTGAAATAAATCAAGTTTAAGGAAATTTCTTATAAAACCCGTTAAGAATCTGAAAAAAGTTAAGGAATTTTGGAAATAAATCATTATTTAATCAATAGTTAAGGATAAAAATGATTTGTACATAAGTAGAATAAATAATCATAGGATTATAAAAGTTAAGGAATTTTTGAAATAAAATCAAGTTAAGGAATTTTTGAAATAAAGTCAGTAAAGAATTTTTGAAATTAAAATCAGTTAAGGATTTTTTGAAATAAAATCAAAGTTAGGAATTTTTGAAATAAAATCAAGTTAAGGAATTTTGAAATAAATCAAGTTAAGGAATTTTGAAATAAAATCAAGTTTAAGAATTTTTTGAAATAAAAATCTAAGTTAAGAATTTTTAAATAAATCTGTCTAGAATTTTATTGAAAGTTAAAAATCTGTCTAGGGAATTGTTATTATGAAATTTAAAATCTTAGGTCTAGGAATGGTTATTGAAATAAAATCCTGGTCCTAGGAATTGTTATTGAAATAAAATCTGGTCTAGGAAATTGTTATTGAAAATAAAATCTGCGTCCTAGGAATTGTTATGAAATAAAATTCTGGTCTAGAAATTGTTATTGAAATTAAAATCTGGTCTAGAAATGTTATTGAAATAAGAATCTGGTCTAGGAATGTTATTAAATCAAAAATCTGGTCTAGGAATTGTCTATTGAAATAAAATCTGGTCTAGGAATGTTATTGAATAAAATCTGGTCTAGGAATTGTTATTGAAATAAAATCTGTCTAGGAATTGTTATTGAAATAAAATCTGGCTAGAATTGTTATTGAAATAAAATCTGGGCTAAGAAATTGTTATTGAAATAAAATACTGCGTCAGGAATTGTTATGAAATAAAATCTGGTCTTAGAATTGTTATTGACCCAAATTAAAATTGTCCTAGGAATGTATTGAAATAAAATCTGGTCTAGCGGAATTGTTATTGAAATAAAAATCTGGTCTAGGCAATTGTTATTGCAAATAAAATTCTGCAGTCCTAGGAATTGTAGTGCAAATAAAATCTGTCTAGAATTGTTATTGAACATAAAATCTGGTCCAGGAATGTTACGTGAAATAAAATCCTCGGTCAGGAATTGTTTATGAAATAAAATCTGGTATATATATCCGTTATTGAAATAAAATCTGCGGTCTAGGCGAACTTGTTATTGAAATAAAAGACTGTCTAGAATGTATTTGAAATAAACTCTGAGTCATTTCAAAAATTCCTTAACTTGATTTTATTTCAAAAATTCCTTAACTTGATTTTATTTCAAAAATTCCTACACCGGATTTTATCCAAACCTTCCTAAACCAGATTTTATTTCAATAATTCCTAAACCAGAATTTATTTCAATAATTCCTGAACCAGAATTTATTTCAATAATTCCTGAAACAAGAATTTATTTCAATAATTCCTGAAACAGATTTTAATATAAATAGTTTCACCTTTCTTATATCAGCAATAGGATATTCACGGTTTTTCATTATTTCTGCTATTTTTTGTCATTTTAACATAATATGTAGCTTGGTTCAGTTTCGATACAACGCCCACTTCAAATGGGATAAGTATTTGTAATTTCCTACTAAATAGGCATTTGTAACGAAACTGAACTAGGTTATATATGATAAAATTCATTTTAAAAAATTAGCTAATGGAAAATCGTGATTATCCAATTGCTGATATAAGAAATGTGTATACAAAATAAGAAAACAATAAAATAGCATTGGATCTATAAACTGATAAACAAGGACAAATCTTAAGTGTAATTTTACCTAATCAATTTGCTAATTGGTTAAAAGAAAACGATATAAAAATCTTTTAAGAGCTAAAATTGTAGATTAGTGCATAAAAGATTTATGGCAGAGAATATTATTGAATTAAGTTTTTTATGATTGAACTATTGAATGTGTATGAAATGATGTATGAAATGGTAAAAACGTGGTCTAGCGTTGTATTTGTTCAAAATAATGTTTTGTAAAGTAAAGTGTTTTGAAATATGTGGTCTAGAATATTTGGAATAATATGACAAAATCTGCTTCAGCATTTTTTCCAAATTTCCACAAATTTCACACCTCTAAAACACGTAAAAATGAGAATATATTGTATTCAAATGAATAAATTTGAGTATTTTAATACGATTTGTATGAAAAATTAGGAAATTTTAAAATCTAAAAATTGTGGGTCTGTTAAATCTGGCCCAGTACGCCCCTTTTCTATACTACTGGGGGCAAATACGAAAATCCTGACAAAAGAAAAGCACTAGTATAACTTGGCCATTTTAGCACCACTTAGTGTTCTTTGCAAGTTGCAATAAAACACTATCATGTTTAAACGTTTAGTTACACATACGATACCCTATACCTTTATTACAATGAAATTATAGAAATATCATAGAATGCGAAGAAAAAATATATTTTGAGAAAACAAATGAAGTTTTCCAAAAATATTGTTTGATAATTATTTCAAATCCCCTATTTTCGGCTTATCTAAGCAAGAATAAAATTTTCAGGAACTTCATAACAGACATACTGTAAAATTTGTAAAACAAAATTTTTAATAAGTGTTTAATGTAAACACTGAAAATACATCTTAAAAAATTTGATGAATTGCTAGATGTTCAAAATGTCATACGTGTAATTTTTTGAATCCTCTCTCGCCATCCGTCTCTCTCACTTCTTACTTGAGTTCTAATTTCCCTTAACGTACATAAAAACCAAAATTTTCCTGTGTACACAAGTAACTACTTCCTGTGGTTGACTTTAATATTTTCTTTTTCTAGCTCCCAAAATGCCATCTTTTTTCACTCTCGTTGTCCTTTGAATCATTCTTTTGGGATGTGGTTGTGCTGGCATAACGAACTGCCGCTTAGGCGTTCGAATCCCTCTTCGTCGAGTTCCTTTTGTAGCCAATCAGCAATATTATCTTTATTGACGTTAGTGATATCTGGGATTGATGTGGCCAGCTAAAGAAAAGGTTCTCCATTTCCCTCTTCCGCGTCTTTTTCAAGTATCTAGGATTTTCACCCAGAAGAATTATTACGTATTTGCAGGTACGTTTACGCGAGTATTGTACGTTTACTTTCGGCGAAAATTGCATCTTTTAACGTCCGAATTCATAGAACGTCTTTCAATCATCTTGTAGAAGAAAACGGATAAGCAATGGTTTTGTACTTTTGTTTCATACTGGAAATCACGTGTCGAACTATTGTCCTTCTTGAAGTCACGTCAAATGGAATTACTAGTATATAAAAGTTTGGTCATCCTCTAATTTTAGGTTAGATTAAGAGGTGTGAAGGAGCATTAACATACAGAATAACAAGTATTTTATGTTGCCAATTTTCCTCATGAAATTTCGTTAAAGATAGCAAATAAAGTAGATAGAAAAACCATTCTCAAAAAGTCACCTAGATCATTCAAACTTTTATGTGATTGTAGTGGGCGCATGGACATATTTGGCATCTGTTCCTTTAAAAACACAACAATTTAGAGTATTAAAACCACCTTGCTATTTTTTAAAACATAGTGCGCACAGTTAGGCATAAACACGGATAATGGAGAGAGGAGAGAGAGTTGATTAAGGAGATACAACACACGAGTGATTTGAAATTCTGCTATTCTATAAATGATTGCATTAAGAAAGAGCTTTCTACGTGCAATATTCTATATTTATAATATGCTCGAAGCAACTTAAACTTTGTAATTTTAAAAAATTGAGAACAATCTGATGCATGATTTGGCTAAAAATTGCTCACAAAGTCTTTTTTACAGTAACACATTCGTTATTAGAGAATCAAGAAATGTATTTTCATTTAAATCTCTGAATTCATTATTCATAGTATTTCACTACATTACAAATTCAAAAAAGTAAAATATTATATATTTGTAAAATATATGTATATTGTAGGAAAACGACGCATTTTTTTAATGTAGGTAGGTACACAAGCTCTACTGTCGATTGGTGTTAGTCAGCGATTCTTACTTACCTCCTTCTTCCGAGAAAGAGCTGTTGCCGCTTTCAACACCATCCTGGAGAGCAAGTGCACCTGTATAATTGGGTACGGCAAGGTTGGCATCGTAATTAGTGGCGGTGTATGCACATGATGACTGGTACAAGGGCGATGGTGCAGAGATGAAGCGACAGGATCGAAGCGTACTGAGTGATAAAAGATGCAAAATCATTGCCAGCATCAACAAAAACGGATAGCAATTCAGACAGAGTATATTATTATTACTATTATTATTATTACTATTATTATTGATATTAATAATTATATTAAAATAATTCAAACTTAATCTAACCCCAAAAGTCTTGAAAACCATTCATTGGAACTGGGTAAGAGAATTTGTCAGCATCGCACAGGTTTTATTTCAGTATGGTATTTGAAAGATACTGATGTATTCTCTGTTAAACAATATTTTGTAGCAAGACACATTCATACGAATTGTCATTCCCAGTTCTCGTACAATGAAAACAGAGCACCTAACCTGCACATCATCTGGGGACCGCACCATGAGCGCACATGTGACGGCTGAGCAACGCTCATCAGACTCGGAAGGGCGCATTCGTCAGCATCGCGCAGGTCGGCGACGCCCGTCTGGTCGTCTGGCTTGACGACGACCAACGAAGTGACGGACGTGACGAAGGCGTAGCGCAGCGCCAGCTCCCTCGCCCGCTCCTTGGCCTGCGCGTCGCCCCCGTCTGCGCGCGGGGCCGGGCGGGCGGGCGGGGCGGGCGTCGCGGCGGGGCGGGGGCGGGACCACCTGGCCCGGGTCAGAGAGCGCAGCGGATTCCGCGGCCAAGCAGCGCTCGTGAGTGAGGCGGCCTTGTCGCGCGCAAGCTGCTCGGGAGCGTGCGGCGACGTTGAGCGCCACCGTGAAGAGGTTGGCGTGGCTGCGCGCTCAGCTCACTTTGCGCCGCCCGTGCGCCCCCTCGCGCACCGCCTCCTGGTATCTCCGTCGCCGCGCGGCGCTC